AAAGACGAGATCCGCTACTCACCCCGGCCACATCAGCCCGGCGCCTGCAACCCAATCTGAGCACAGGCCGGCAGCCGGCAGCTAATTAAAGAGCCACTTCCGGGCCCGCCCCGCCCCCTGAATCTGACGTCCCAAACCTCCCCCCCCCCCCGCCACTGCGGCAGCGGTTTGCAAACCCCCCAACACACACACAGAGCAGCGAGGCACTGTCCAAAAAATCCCCCCATCAGCGGGCCAGCTGCCCATCTTTTCTCGACACAGTGGCAGGCAAGAGGCAAAATTACTTTTTTCAGAGTAACAGCCCTGTTCCTCTGTATTCGCAAAAAGAAAAGGAGGACTTGTGGCACCTTAGAGACTAACCAATTTATTTGAGCAAATATTATTTATTTGAGCACGAAAGCTTATGCTCAAATAAACTGGTTAGTCTCTAAGGTGCCACAAATATTACTTTTCGCACCCGGCATCACTCCCCAAGTATTGCCGCTGCGAGGAGACACGCTTCCCAAACCACAACTAGACGCCTGCTCACAGATGATGCCAGATCAGCACCCAGAAGGCGCAGCTGAGATCACCGCCTCAAACCAAACCCATAAGCGACTGTGTCCCCAAAGCTTACAACTGAAGAGCCAAGCCAGACAAAGGACACAGCAGGAGGGGAAACCTTCACCCCATCCAGCAAAAGAGACCAAAATGTCCACATCCTGATCCTGTTTTCCAAATGAATTCTTAGCACCTCACACTGTGAGCACCTGCTCTACTTTACCCACTCCCATCTTCCTGTTACAGTGTGAAAACTTAAGCCACACACAAGGCTGCAAGATGTGCACATGCAACCCTGCTCCTTGGTGGGAGCTCGAGGGCCAGATTAAAATGTCTGAAGGGCCGGATGTGGCCCCTGGGCCGTAGTTTGCCCACCCCTAGCTTAAGCAGAACCACCCATAGCACTATATGCAGCTACTGTGACAGGCGGGTGGGCCTAGGCCTACCCCCTCACCCAAGGGGGAGGAGCCAGCTGGACCCTGACCACAACTGAATGCTGGGGACAACAAAGGAAAAAACAGGGATGGGAGCACTATCAAAGGTTGAAAATCAGAGATTCGGAGGGGGACACCAAGCAGAGAACCCCCGACAGCCCCCACCGCTCCTCAAAGATGTCTAAGGAGTCAGCGGGCACTGCCCAGAGGAACTCTGCCCAGAGTCATGGCTGTGCAACGGACCAGAAACAGGCCCCACAATCACAAAGCAAACCCTGTCCAGCTTCCTCCTCCTCCTAGAGTGATGGATGGCCACGTTGGTTGAGGAGGAGGACTCACAGCTTTGTGGGGCTACAGATGGGGTCTGCACAGATCAGGAGATACGCAGAGAAGTGCAGCCAGATCCTTAGTAAGAGGTTCTGGAGGAGCCGGAAGAGGGGCTGCAACCTGACGCACCCTACATAGATGTGCACCAGGGTCTCCCTCTCGCTACAGAAGGGACAGGCCTCAGGGGAGTTCATGAACCACGCCTGGTCCATGCTCGTGCTCACAGCTCCATGGAGGAGCTGCCAATTAATATCCCTGGTGGGTAGAACTGGCCATAGTGGGGAATCAACAGGGCTCTACTCACATGTAATAATTTGCAAGTTTAGAGCCCAAGAGAGTGGAAGTTGGGCGATAAGAGGGGCATATCAGACTGCTTAAAACTGGGGGGGGGAGGGATTATGGTGGGGCTGTTAATAACAAACTGAACAGAAATGTAAAAGAAAAAATTTTTATTTACTTCAAAGCCGAATGAACATTTGGGAAAAGGCAGTAGCTGTAGGAGATGCAACACTTCAGTTAAGGTGTGAGAGCTGTTGTGACAACTGGGCCTACCCAGTGTACCCCTATTGTGAGCTTCACTGTGAAAAAAGATGTGAACGTTCCTGAGAGGTTCCAATAACCATGAAAAATAGGAGAACCAGAAAAAAAAAGCTGGATTAGTCTAAACCGAAAAGGCCACGTTAATAAAATCCAAGGGCTGTTAAAATTACGCTGGGTAAAACCGATGTGGAACCAGAAGCGAATAAACCACAATTAGTGTGACCGATATTAAGCCTAATTGCAGACAAAATAAGGACAGGGATGAACTACGATGCCCACTTTCCTCCTCCTTGGGATTCCTTGGGGAAGCGGGAGGGGGGCGGGACATGATCAGTTCAGATAGTTCACTTCTATTCTCCCTCTCATCTGCCCATCCTGCCTTGCAACACAGCTCATCTCCCGAACTGCCAGCAGCATCGCCATTCATCTTGACTCACCCAAGGACTTTCTTCCTGAGGGGAAGGCTGGCTGGCTGGCCATAATCTTGTTCAATGAATTTTGTTTTCATCTGTGAGTGCTGAAAGTCATCACATTATCATGTCACGCAGCCCTCAGCCCACCAGTGGGCGTATTCAACTTCCCACACTGCAGAGGTATGTAAGATCCTGCATCATTTTCCCTTCCCATGTTGTGTTATCTTATGCCCCCCTTCTTTTCTTTCCTTCTACCCTCTCTCGCATTTTCTAGACTTTTCACTGAATCCTGAAGTCAACCATGCTGGGTTCATCCACGCCTTCCTGATCTAAGAAAACAAACAAAAAAACCCCAAGCAAATAGCATTCCTGACCAAATCGGTAAGCCACAATCCAAAGAGCAGGTGTTGTCGTTGACTTGTCAGCCAAAAGCCATCTACTCCTAACTAACCAGTGATCCAGCGTGCCAAAAACATGAACAAAAGCCGTATTTCACCCATCTTTTCTATCTCCTCTTCTCCAAATTGTGTGTCTGGTTGTTACAAACAAGATCTGTAAATACCCTTCATACACCAGAGATGAAAGTAAAATTAACCTTTTCCTTTTCAAAGAAAGGCTATTCTGAAATTAGAGACTAATATTTTGCCTCCAGAAAAAAGTTTTAAAAGTTTTGACTGCTTGTTTTGCATAATCACTCACCCAATTTCAGTATAAATGCCTGTTTTAATTTCTTGATCTTTCTTCTCTTTAATCAATAAACTTTTAATTTAAATAAATGTTTTGGGGTGTTTGTCAAGTAACAATATGTACACAAGAGAGCTCAGAGTACATCCTCAACGACCCCTAACAATCCCCCCAGCAAAATCAAGGACGATCATTCATAGTACCCAAGGCAAAAAAAACAAACCCAAAGAGATATAACAAAACAAAAAGCACACAAGCTTTCCAGGTCACATTTAAAAAGGCATTTGGCGTCCCTCCTTGCAGGGCCCCTGAGCCTGACTAAATCAGCCACCAGGAAATGGACCCATGAAACGCTCTTTATAACTGGGCTGAAAGGGGGTTTATCCCATCTACGCTGGCAGTTAAATCAGATTCCCCTCCCCTTTGGCTTTGGGGGCAGAGGGACCCTTTGCTGAGATAAGAAACTGCCCTATTGCTAGCATCTCTGGGCCACGTTCACCTTTGGCCTGTCCTTTGTGTAGTCATTTACACCAGTGCAAAGTGAGTGTGAAGTGCAACCAGATCAGAGGTAGTGCTGTCCAGTGGATAGAGCACTGGGCTGGGCATCAGGAGACCTGAGTGCTATTCTGCCACTGACCTGCTGGGTGACCTTAGGCACATCACTGGACTGTGCCTCAGTTTCCCTTCCTGACACTTTCTGTCGGGTCTATTTAGAGTTAGCTTTTCATGTGTGTTTAGTGTCTCACATGCTGCAGCCCTGATCCCATGTGGCACGGTATCAAATGCCTTACTGAAATCTAAGTAAATTAGATCCACTGTGTTTCCTTTGTCTAAAAAAATCTGTTACCTTCTCAAAGAAGGAGATCAGGTTGGTTTGGCACGATCTACCTTTTGTAAAACCACGTTGTATTTTGTCCCATTTACCATTGAAGGAGAAAGTAGTTAAGGACATTGAAATCAAAATTTTTTCCAAGACCTTGCATACTACAGATGTCAAACTAACAGGCCTGTAGTTACCCGGATCATTTTTTTCCCTTTCTTAAAAATAGGAACTATGTTAGCAATTCTTCAATCATATGGTACAACCCCTGAGTTTACAGATTCATTAAAAATTCTTGCTAATGGGCTTGCAATTTCGGGTTCCAATTCCTTTAATATTCTTGGATGAAGATTATCTGGGACCCCCGATTTAGTCCCATTAAGCTGTCTGAGTTTCGCTTCTACCTCAAATATGGTAATGTCTACCTCCATATCCTCATTCCCATTTGTCATGCTACCATTATCCCTAAGATCCTCTTTAGTCTTATTAAAGACTGAGGCAAAGTATCTGTTTAGATATTGGGTCATGCCTAGATTATCCTTGACCTCCACTCCATCCTCAGTGCTTAGCGGTCCCACTTCTTCTTTCTTTGTTTTCTTCTTATTTATATGGCTATAGAACCTTTTACTATTGGTTTTAATTCCCTTTGCAAGGTCCAACTCTACTTGACTTTTAGCCTGTCTCACTTTATCCCTACATGTTCTGTCCTCAATAAGGTAGCTTTCCTTGCTGATCCCTCCCATCTTCCACTCCCTGTATGCTTTCTGCTTTTTCTTAATCAGCTCTCTGAGATGCTTGCTCATCCAGCTTGGTCTACAACTCCTGCCTATGACATTTTTCCCCTTTCTTGGGATGCAGGCTTCCGATAGCTTCTGCAGCTTTGATTTAAAATAATCCCACAGTATGCATCCGATGAAGTGAGCTGTAGCTCACGAAAGCTTATGCTCAAATAAATTGGTTAGTCTTTAAGGTGCCACAAGTACTCCTTTTCTTTTTGCGAATACAGACTAACACGGCTGTTACTCTGAAACCTTTCCTTACCCAGTCTCCCCTCAGAATTCCTCAGTCCTGCTTCCATCTGCAAGTCTGAGCTTTTCCCTTCAGATGCCTCATGTCTTTGCTCCATAATCTGCTCAAACCCCTTCCTAAACTCAACCAGACTTTCCTCCTTCATCTCCAAACCTCGGATCTTTTCCTCCATCAGCTCTATCAGATGGCATTTCATGCAGATAAAACTCTTACCAGGTACCCCCTCCAGGATCATGTATGTTCCGCAGCTTCCACATCCAGTCATCCTCATTGCGTCTTCCACGACATGGGTCACTCCCACTGCTGCCTCTGTATCTGTCATCGCCTTCCCACCTACATCCTGTTAATCTGGGAAACACAAACCACATCAAAACACCACCACCCACAGCAAAAACAAACCCCAAACAAGCACCACAATACAAACTCCCCATCAAACTCCCCTGTTTACAGCTCTGTTTGCTGGCTTCTGTGCTGCTGCCTTTATAGGATCCCTAGTCAGAGAAGCCCTGCCCCCTAATCAGGGCTCAGCTTCTCTCCCAGCACAAAGCCCCTACAAGCCTCTACACATAAAATACTACAAATACGAATACCTTCTTCTCCCTGTTCTCAGCTGTTCTTCTGTCCCTGATTACTGGGGTCGCCTTGAATCAAAGCCCTCGGTACGGAGATATAGAGCTAGGAGGTACCTAGCTAGCAGTGTCACTAAACCTGTCTGCACGGTTATCCGCTCACCACTGGCTATTCCCGAGGTCCTGTCCCACAGTGCACTGGGCCCAGTGCATTGTCCCAGACCAGCTCCTCTTTGGTTGTTCCAAAATCCTGTTCAGGAACGCTGAAGGGTTCATCCCCAGGACTTTGAAGTCAGCAGCAACTGCTGCCCCACACAATTGGCAGGGAACCGTGTGTGATGTCACAACATCTAGGGTGAGCTGTCGCTCTGAGCGCTGTAGGACTGTGCTCTGGTGAGGCTCCGTGACTGAGGTTCGACTAGTCACAAGATGGGAAAAATAGCACCAAAGAAAACTAAGGAAACTGGTGCATAAATAGCACTCCAGAAAGCTAAGGAATCTGGATCACGTGGCTTCTCAGTATTTGTAGAGGAGGCTTGTTTGAGACAGAAAGAGGTAAGGTGGATAGGGTTATATCAACCCTGCTTCCAGCTTGCCGCTTGGGGTGTTTTCAGGGAGCTGGTGAAGGCAGAGACAGCTGGGGTTAGGATGAATGACTGGGCTATTTTTTAGGTCTTTGCAGGTGACAGGAAAGAATCCCACTGGGGTTCAGGAGTGGAGGATAATTCAGGTGCCTGAAGTATGATCAGTGCTGATGAAGAAGGGGTGAATCTCCTGAGTGCCAAAGGCCCAGAGTAGCAGAGTTAGACCCATAGAGCCAGATCCCGCTCTCATTTACACCAGTTCTGGGGCACTGAAGTTACCTCAGAGTTACCTTGATAACCAGGATGAGAATCTGGCTCTCAGCCTCCAGGGAGCAGTGAGAGCTGCCCTTCCCTCACTGCCCCACCCTCGATACCGGTTTCTTGATCACCGCCAGGGTACAGCTGGATTCGTAAGAAACACTGTAGCCTGCAGGGCTGAGATACAATTTTGCTTTGTTCAGCGTGAATCCCACACCAGCCTATGAAACCTACGGTGAAAGTTCACAGTGTTGGGATGCCCCTGTAATTACACCCCGTGTCCCTGGTTTTGGGAATAAGTGCACAGCTTCTGCAGATGCTAACTGGTGGAGAGAGGCTTGGGGGGCTGGGGAGGGGTGGCACTCCTGCTCACTGCCTGAGGCCAGGCTTCCTGCTTCGCAATGCAGAAGAACTAGTTTGTCAGCTGCTGATGCTGGGCTAATACACTTGCTCAGGGTTATAAATTAATGTGTGCCCCCTACCATCCGCTCTTGTATTTGTGCTAAAGGGATCACACTTAACAACTACACCCTGCCTCAGAGGCATTGGGGAGAGACCGGGAATTCCCCAGGGCCTTGATCTAGAGATCCAGGATCTCAATATTAGCCACAGACGTTAAAAAATAAACCCTCCTTAGGACTATAGCCCTTATACCCTTAGCTCTAACCCAAAGCTCTTCTGATCTAGTCTCATCACTTTAGGATCCACAGTATGAAACACAGAACTTCTTTTGAGATAGTAAAGAGCTTTACGTTCGCTTCTACCTTCTCTAGCTCTATAACTCTGAGCAAATCAGTTTGTCAAGAACGATGACACAGTCCGTGTTTTGTGAGGGCGCCATCATGAAAAGGGGGGAAATAAATACCAAATGCTACAGACAGAAAAGTGCGCAGAGCTAGAGAAAAAGCCCTTGCTAGCACTATTTGGATTTTCTGCTTTCTAGCCCAGATGCCACTCCGCCTGCTTTTAAACCCCAGTGACTCAGCTGTTGCTCTATTCATGCACAATCTTACCAAAATATCACCAAGAGAGGAGGCTTCTTCTTTACTCAGAGTCCCAAATGGGCTTTGTTCTAAACAAGTCTTATCTGAGTATTTGTTATTCCCTTTGGGTGCATTCTTGTGGTCAATTCATTTCCTTTTTATGCCTCTTTTGCTAGTACAAAAAGGACTCCATTACAATGCACTGTTAAACACCACCACGTATAGCTGCAAAGCTGGCTGCATCTCAGTGGTGCTTGAAATACTTCCTTTATTACCTACATGGCCCAATCCCGCTTCCCTTTCAGTCAACCGGCCTTCCAATGGGACCAGGAACAGGCATCTAGTTTATGAGAGGTGATCACTTTAAAAAAAATCTTGGCAAGTGATTTTGGGGTCCCAGTTTGAGACACCTGAAAGGGGCTTTGTTTTCAAAAACTGCTGAGTACCCACCCTCTGAAAGTCAGGCTTCTTTAAGTTCTCACATCCAAGGACACCAGTAACTTTTGAAAACCTTGCCCAGGTTTTAGCGCTTTGGAAACCCTTCTTCTTTTAGGGTTGCCAAAGCGCTAAAATCTGGTCTCATCCAAAGCCCATAGAAGCCAACGGAAATACTGCTGCTGATTTCAGTGGAGTTTGGATCAGATCCTAAATGTGTAATCCATTGGGGGCCTGCTGCTGAGGTCAATGACAACTCTCCCATCGATTTCAACGGAACCCTAAATTATCTATGTGACCACTTCTCCCCTCTCCCATGTAAAGATTTTACATCCTAACAGATTTGGTCACTCCCACCTGTGGGAGTAATTTGTCAGATTCTCTGCTAAGTTTTTACATTTCAATTATTGGGCCAATTTCCAAATAGTGAAGAATGGGGTTAAAGTTAGCACAGAGGGAAATTCTTTCAGTTTAGTCTACAAAAGCTGCACTATTTCAGTAGCTTGGCTCCTTCTCCATGTCTTGAAGGAAGGGAAAGTGGGGGTAGAAATCAGCTCCGTGTCCAGTGACATAGGTTGGCTAGATACGAATTCAGGATATTCTACGTGTCCAACACAAGAGCCCCACAGTCAGTCCATCACAAATCACCAAAATGCAACAATGGAAATTTATCAGGCTGGGCATGAAATATAACTGATATTTAATACAGACTTCTACATGTCCTGGTGGAAACATGCTTATAAGGAAGTACAACAATACTCAATATTAATAGTACATAACATACCACCAGGACTTCTGTGTTTACAGTCATTATTTTGAGGTCTTATTGATCAGTTTTGTTGTGTTTTTTGTTTGTTTGTTTTTTTAACGTAAGGGCAGAACCCATTTGTACTCTCCCTGAATTGAGGTGCCTGATGTACACGCTCCAATATTTCAGTGATTCCTCTTTGGGATGCAATCAGACTTCAGAAAAAAAGGCAGACCAGCTACAGTGGGGAATAAAAAATGGTTCAGACAAGCTGTGAGAAAGAGCACCAAAGGAGTCACCCCCATGCACTACGGGCACCAGAAGTTACAATCTGGAATAATACTAGGAAGGAAAAGGACACAAAATCAAGAGACTCCATTGTGAGGGATGAGATTTTTCCCATACCCCCTGATGCATCCTTCTCTCAGTGAGAAAACATCTCACTACTATATTTTACAGTTCTAGTCCCAAACACTGAAGCTTATTCTAAAGGCTTTGGCAGTGCTGGACCATGCTGTAAAACAGCACAGTCTTTCTTCCTTTTTTTTAAATGAAGGATCAGAGAATAATTCTGGTGCCTGCCCCATCCCTCAGCAGGCTCAGAAGTTTTCCCTCCCAGCCCCTCAGTTCTGCAGAGAGTCCCACCCCAGCGAGATCATTGAAGACTGTGAGCTCAATCTCGAGTCCCCAGTACTCTTTTTACTAAGTCCTCCCTCAGGGCTATCCTCTCATCAGAGTCACTGGACTGAATTCTTTTCTCATTCGCTCTCAGTGTGAATCGGGAGCAACCCCACTGGAGCCCCGGGCCTGATTCTCCTCTTGCTCACCCTGGGCATATATAAGGAGTAAACTCCACTGAAGTCAAGGGACAATCAGAATCAAACATAGGCTACACACGCTGGTTTAACCAAAATTGTTTTTTAAATAAATGTAGTTAAACTGATGCAAACTCCTGGGTGGTCATTCTTAAAGCGGTTTACAACTGCCTTATATCAATTTAATTTAATTCTGTTGCTGAATTTAGCTTAATCGAGAGAAGCAAGTTGTAGACAAGGCCCTGTTGGGAGTTTGACCTGGGCAGACTAGATGAAAACTGAGTAAGGGCTTCAGGAACTAGCTAAGTGCAGGGGTGCCTAGTGGGATTTTCAAAAGCGCCCACAAGGCTAGGTGCTTTGTAAACCCCACTAGATGCCTAGCAGACCCAGTACGGCCGTTCTTATTCACTGACACCATCTGTATGCTCAGCACTGTTCAGAATATGCCAGAAAATATAGTCCCTGAGCCAATGCATATAAAATGTGTAGCCCTGGATAAGGTGGCTCAAGATATTTAAGTATGAAGTGTATAATTATTGAACATGTTAATATCTATGAGTGGAGGCGCTGATGGCAACAGAAATTTTACCTGATTAAGCACTGGAAGATTTGACCCTCCAACTTCCTTTCTGGACAGCTCTTCCTCTTGAGCTCATATGCCTGTTTATTTTCCTTTCCTCCCTGCAGTGGCCCTGAGATATCTCAGAAGACTCCGTTTTTTCTCTCAGCTTTAAAGTGTGGGATTTTCCTGGTGTTTGGTTTTAAGTACTCTCCTGTGAGAACTGCAACTCCATCACCGTAGTGTTTTTCTTAAGAGCCTTCAGGAAAGTAACTAGTCTCAAACAGAAGTGAAAGCAGTGTTTTCAACTCTCGTGATTTTGTCACGAGTCTCACAATAATTATTGTTTTCCTTAAAGCCCCGGCTCCTGGAGTCAAGTGGAGATGTGAGGATTTCAGCCTTCATTCTTAAAGAACAAGTAAGTTTCTGGCCCTTGTAGCTGTGCAGAAAGCTTCACAACGTGACCCCAGTGCACCCTAAAGGCTCAAAAAGCAGAAGGCAAATAAAAAGAATACTACATCTATTATTTTTACAAAATATGATTTTTAAGCCAATCTCATGATTTTTGGTGAGCCTGACTCATGATTTTTAAACATTTGGGGTTGGCAATACTGTGAAAGTAACTTGAAAGTTTTCAGAGGAACAGCCGTGTTAGTCCTTGCAACAAAGCCCGTTGCCAATTGTGCCCACATATCTATTCAGGGGACACCATCACAGGGCCTAATAACATCAGCCACACTATCAGAGGCTCGTTCACCTGCACATCCACCAATGTGATATATGCCATCATGTGCCAGCAATGCCCCTCTGCCATGTACATTGGTCAAACTGGACAGTCTCTACGTAAAAGAATAAATGGACACAAATCAGATGTCAAGAATTATAACATTCATAAACCAGTCGGAGAACACTTCAATCTCTCTGGTCACGCAATCACAGACATGAAGGTCGCTATCTTAAAACAAAAAAACTTCAAATCCAGACTCCAGCGAGAAACTGCTGAATTGGAATTCATTTGCAAATTGGATACTATTAATTTAGGCTTAAATAGAGACTGGGAGTGGCTAAGTCATTATGCAAGGTAGCCTGTTTCCTCTTGTTTTTTCCTACCCCCCCCCAGATGTTCTGGTTTAACTTGGATTTAAACTTGGAGAGTGGTCAGTTTAGATGAGCTATTACCAGCAGGAGAGTGAGTTTGTGTGTGTATGGGGGTGGGGGGGATGTGAGAAAACCTGGATTTATGCAGGAAATAGCCCGACTTGATTATGTAAAGAGTTGTCACTTTGGATGGGCTAGCACCAGCAGGAGAGTGAATTTGTGTGGGGGGGTGGAGGGTGAGAAAACCTGGATTTGTGCTGGAAATGGCCCACCTGTTGATCACTTTAGATAAGCTATTACCAGCAGGACAGTGGGGTGGGAGGAGGTATTGTTTCATATTCTCTGTGTATATATAAAGTCTGCTGCAGTTTCCACGGTATGCATCTGATGAAGTGAGCTGTAGCTCACGAAAGCTCATGCTCAAATAAATTGGTTAGTCTCTAAGGTGCCACAAGTACTCCTTTTCTTTTAACTTGAAAGTGTCGGTTTCATTCCTGTTTAAAGTCAATTTCTGGTCTATTCTATTTAGTACGGTAACACCCCAGGCAGGTGCAGGTATAAACTCATGGGGGCTTTGCCCTAGTAGGATGTTTTCAAAAGGTAAATGATCTATTCCAAGCTTGGTGAACTTCAAGAAGTAAGTGGCTTAAATGGTAGAAAGCAATCTAGATTTTTCTACCATTGTTGTATTCAAGAGTAAGAATATACTTTAAAATTTTAAACCTAACCAGTGTCCTTTAAGTGACATGACACAAGATATTAGAACGTGTTAGCATTAGTGCTGTGTATTAGAGATATGAGAGAGAGGGAGAGGGACAGGTAATTTTCTAAGTTATTGTCTGCAAAAAAACCTAGAGTTTTCACAAGAAGAAAAGGAGTACTTGTGGCACCTTAGAGACTAACCAATTTATTTGAGCATGAGCTTTCGTGAGCTACAGCTCACTTCATCAGATGTTATGATGTTTTCAGTTGCCTAAGTAGCCCCTGCAATCACAGTTAAAGTTGTCCCCCCTTACCAAAATCTGAAACGGCATCCATGACTGAGTGTGATCTTACTCTGCAAAGATCTTCTCTATTTTTGTCCTTGCTTGAAAGAGCAGGAAGGGCAAGGAGTTCACGACTTTCCTTATTTCCTTTAACAATCTTTTATGCCACTGTTGTGGTTACCCCGGCTGACACTCTCTTCACTTCACACTCAGCAATAGGTTTTTCATAAGAAGTCAGTCAATTCAGGAAATAAGCAGCCCACCTGCCACACAGCTGTACTGGGGGTTTTTAACCAGTATTTCAGAGGGCCTGTCCATACGCTAGGATAAAAGGGGTGTTTCAAAAGTGTGAGAGCTAACGTGCTTAAAACTCTAGTGTAGATAGGTCGCATTGTATTTCAACATGTGTTAGCTGGTCAAGGTAAACGACAGGCTACCCACAGCTAGCACATGTGACAATGCAACTTGCCCTGTCTGCACTGGCATTTTGAGACGTGTTAGTTGTCAAGTTTTAAACATACCACTTTTATTCAGCATTGCCAGCCCCAAGGATTTAAAAATGCTGAGGCAGGCCTCCAAAAATCATGAGTTTAATAATAATACATGGTGGGTTCTTTCTTTGCCGTCTGGTTTTTGAGCCGTTAGCAGTCACATGCAGTCACAGAGGGCTAGATATTTACTTTTTCTTTTAAAATGAAAGCTGAGATTCTGTCTTCACTTGACACCAGGAGCTGTAGCTGTACGAAAAGACACTAAATATGATAAGACTTATGATGTTATCATGAAAGTTGGCAATACTGACAGGCCCAGACAGAGCTACTTTATGTGGTGGTGGGTTAAACAAACTCAGCAATAATCAGACTTAGCACATACCTCTCACGAATCTGGCACACTAATGGAGAAGTCGACACAACATAGCAGTGGGCTAGGTCATTACCACCATCCCCATTTTACAGATTGGAAAACTGAGGTAAGGCAAGTTTATGTTGTGTCAGGCCACACTGGGAGTAGAAGGCTGTGCCTGCACTAAAATTTGGGCATGCCCAGTTCCTCTAAAAAGATACACATTCCCAGACTCACAACTCTGAAAACCTTCTAAGCGGCCTCTTTATTTGTTCCCTGTGGTTCTATTATACACTTGTTAAATGCATTAGGACAGGCTATTTATCTAGTTCCACAGTTTTAGACCCTTTCTGTGTCTGGTTTCATAAGAACAAAGAACATAAGAATGGCCCTACCGGGTCAGACCAAAGGTCCATCTAGCCCAGTATCCTCTCTTCTGACAGAGGTCAGTGCCAGGTGCCCCAGAGGGAATGAACAGAACAGGGAATCACCAAGTGATCCATCCCCTGTCGCTCATTCCCAGCTTCTGGCAAACAGAGCTAGGAACACCATTCCTGCCCATCCTGGCTAATAGCCACTGATGGACCTATCCTCCATGAATTTATCTAGTTCTCTTTTGATCCCTGTTATGGTCTTAGCCTTCACAACATCTTCTGGCAAGGAGTTCCACAGATTGATTATGCATTGTGTGAAGAAATACTTCCTTTTATTTGTCTTAAACCTGCTGCCTATTCATTTCATTTGGTGACCCCCTAGTTCTTGTGTTATGAGAAGTAGTAAACAACACTTCCTTATTTACTTTCTCTACACCAGTCACGATTTTATAGACCTCAATCACATCTCCCCTTAGTCGTCTCTTTTCCAAGCTGAAAAGTCCCAGTCTTATTAATCTCTCCTCATAGGGAAGCTGTTCTGTACCCCTAATAATTTCTGTTGCCCTTTTCTGAACCTTTTCCAAATCCAACATATCTTTTTTGAGATGGGGCGACCACATCTGCACGCAGTATTCAAGATCTGGGCGTACCATGGATTTATATAGAGGCAACATGGTATTTTCTGTCCTATTATCTATCCCTTTCTTAATTATTCCCAGCATTCTGTTTGCTTTTTTGACTGCCCCTGCACATTGAGTGGATGTTTTCAGAGAACGGTCCACAATGACTCCAAGATCTCTTTCTTGAGGGGTAACAGCTAAAGATTTCCTTGAACCTTTCCTAAGGAATTGCTCTATCTCGGGGTTTTTACTGCTGCCTATCCCTGTAATATCACAACGCCTTCAGCAGGGAAACAGTGATGGGAATAAAACTCCCTAGTGGGCTTAATGGGGTCTTTTCCCTTTTTGGGGTACAGAAACTCCACTTAGGGCAAGGTTCTTTTTCTGTTCAGTTCAATGGTTGCATTATGCATTTGTTTGAGGTCTTTTTGTTTTTATTTATTTGTTTAAATACCAGTGAATGTCAGTGAAGTTACAAGGACTTACACCTGTATGGTCTTAGGTATGCACAGTGGTGTGAGTAACAAGATACATATCCCCTAGGCAGTGAAGGATCATTTTTTTCTCCAATTGTGGCATCTTCAAACTACAACCAGATTTTCTTGTTACAGCTGTTAGCTGGGGGGGGGAAAGTCCCCCTAGCAACAGAGGCAGAGAACTTCTGGACTTCCCCTCTGCTGTTTACCCAGTGAGGTGGGGGACTTTCCCTTAGGAGAAATCATTTATCACCGGCCTTGCTATGGGCCCTGGAACCTGTACAAACCCATATACAAGAAGTAGGGTCGGGACCGTAAGCAGTGCCCTTGAACTCCTCGGTCCTACGTATGTGGGTGCAGTTACACAGTATATGTAGGACTGAAGGGAGGGGCGCCCTTGGGTGTGAGGTGAGTGCTTCCGTCGCCCCAATGGGAACTCCCCTCCGCCCCCGTAACAGCCCACTGGGAAGAGGGAGCCGCACCGCGAATTGGGAGGGAGAAGGGGGGAGCGGTGAAGTCCCCGCCTGGGATCAGGAGAGTGGAAACCTCAAGGAGGGAGGAAACACCGACGGCATCCAGCGGCAGACGGGCCCGCCCCTCTGGCTCTCGCCCCAGGAGCGATCGCGTGGAGCGGCCCCGGCAGCAGCGCTGTGCCCGGGGATCGTCCAGCCCCAGCGGCGAGAAGGTAGGTGGGGGGCTGCGCGGGAGCGCCGGGCTGGGGCAGCCCTTTAACCAGCTGTGCCCGGGACAGCTGAGCCGGCGCGTTAGGAGCGAAGAGCGGCCAGGGCTGCCCGCGTCTCCGCGCCGCTCCCCTGCCCGGGGAGGCCTGGAGAGAGGCCGGCCGGGGGGGGGGCGTGTGTCCGGGGGCAGATGGGGGAACTGGCGCCAGACCGAGCTTGGCTGGCTGGATGCAGCCCCCGGCCGCGGGATCACACCCTGCTGCAGATCTGCGTGCTGAGGTCAGGGCCAGCTTGTTCAACGCAGCCAAACTCTCCAGCTGCCTCTTCTGGGAAGAGCCAAATCCATTAGCCGGGGGCGGGGGAGCCCTTTGGGAGAGGGGGAGGGTATTTTTCTGATGCCTCCCGAGTTGCTTTTTTAACCCCGGCCGCCCTTGCTACTTTATCTGCTCATCTCGAGCTGCCTCTGGTCCTCATATCCACTCCCTTAATTCCGGAAATCAATTAACACACTCCCACCAATGAAACACACCGCAGCAACCTCCCTGCCCTGAGCAGGCAGCGGACACAACCCACGTTCTCCAGCCCAGCTCAAAGCACACCACAAAAATCAACCGGGCAACATCCACTTTTATGCTTCAATTTTTTGTTAAGAACCACAGCTATAAAACTCTCCATGACATTCCCACTCAGCATTTCTAGATCCCGTTTAAAATTCGTTTGGAAGCAAATCCCAGAGGCTACCATAAGTGAATAATATTAGGCAAAAAATCATCCCCAAAGAAATTTATTCTAATAATCTGCAATGGGTTCCAAAAGATTTTCTTAAAAAGGGTAGCGTCACAGAATTCTTAGACATACATACTCTGCACTGTTAAACACATTCATATCAGAATGAAAACCTGACACAGATCATGCAGATAAAGAATTGCAAAATCTGTACTCGAAACAAAGCATAAAAAGAAAAAAATCAGATTGCAACATAACCTGCTCACAGAAGCTGCTATGCAACACTCATGATTCCCTCTCAGAAAAGAGAACTGAAATCATGGCAAGGTAGACTCAAAATAAAATCCTGACTATTGAAGTCAGTGGCAACACTCACATTCACTTCAGTGGGCCCAGGGTTTCACCAAGATTGCTTAATATTACTGCTAAAGCACAACAACTAACTGAAAATCATAAGCAGCAACACCTAATAGATACAAAACCATCACGAAAATATATGAGTGAAAAGAAATCTTGTAACGTTTTTAAAAAGTGTTTTCCCCCTTTCAAAATTGTTGGAGAGAGATTACAATTGGAATTAATTACAGAGAAGATTATTAAACACATTAAATCTGAATAGGTAGCTTCAAAAGTCACAAACGTTCTTAATATCTCACCATAGCCACGTCTTCTAAACAAATATTTCTTAAACCTCCAATGAAAAAGTGACAACTTTTGGCAACAGCCAAAAACCAGCAGTAAAATGTATGGCTTCAAAGTACACATTCTCAGAGGCTATTTCCCCCCCCTCCCCAAGACAATGAATTTTACACAGCCACTGCCCTAAACCAATGAGGTCTTACACCAAGGGGCAGACTCACTATCACCAACCTTGCAAATTAGAACCCCATTCCTGCAAACTCTTACACGATTAACTTTAAGCACATAAATCAGGGGTTCTCAAACTGTGGGTTATGACCCCTTGGGGGGTTGCAAGGTTATTAAGTGGGGGTTACGAGCTGTCAGCCTCCACTCCCAAACCCCGCTTTGCCTCTAGCATTTATAATAGCGTTAAATATAAAAAATGTGTTTTTAATTTGTAAGGGGAGTCGCACTCAGAGGTTTGCTGTGTGAAAGGGGTCACCAATGCAAAAGTTTGAGAACTACGGACATAAGTAATCCCATTGATTTCAGTGGAGCTAATCATGTGCTCAACTAACAAATAAAGTTTAAGAGCTTGCAGAATCAGGGCTTAGATCGCAAATGTCTTGTCAGACTGAGACACACAAGGCATTACAAATTTCGGGGAGGCAGCTACAATGCAATGTTTCTCCCAATTCACAACTAGACCCATACAACAAAATTCTATACCAGAGAAACAGGCAGACTCTCATAAGAAAATCTCAATATTTTACAATTTTTAAGCATCAACGGACATAGCAAACTGGGACCAGGTCTAGGCTTATGGAGCTTTGTTGGCACAGCTCTCTTGCCACAACAGTGCCAGCATAGCCCTCTGGTGTAGACACATGCCCACCAGCAGAAGCGGATACTTCTAGCAGTGTAGTAACAACACCTCCCCAAATGAAATAAGCTAAGCCGACAGAAGTGCTTTTCTGCTGGCTTAGCTGCAATCTACTGGAGAGCTCTGTCGACAGGTCGTTCGGTGGTGGGAGGAGAGAGAATCAGACCCCTGACCAATATAGCTAGGCTGGTAAGTTTAAGTGCAGACCAGAAAGTGGTAGAAACATTTATATACTACTATCCAAAATTAAAAACATGTTTCCTCAGTGAAGTCCGACAACAAATAGCACAGACACAAAATATTTTTAGAAATATCCAGGTGAGGAAAGATTCCAGCACATTCATTTCATAGGGTGATGCAACTATACAAGTCATTTAATAAGAACAACATTTCTGGGGAAAACCCAAAGAGAGGAGAATTTAAATATTAACACTTTGGCACAGAAGAATTATTAGATCCAAGCCACTTCCATCCTGAGAATTGTCCACATCCAGCTTCCGCAGATTTGGTCTCCATCAAAAGATGTTAGTCACCACTAACTGTTGCTGAAGGGCTGACTCTGCGTGGCATCCTATGGCTCTGCGAGCTTCAGAGCTCGTTAAAAGCCATGTCCATTTGAAGCTCTATGAGGACCAGCTGAGGAGGTCAGAGGTTATATAAAGGGTCAAATTCAACAAAGGAATAAACATTTCTGGAAGTAACTGCCTCAGTTCCTTACACCTGAAACTCACACGGACAGCGAACTCTGAAGGAAAGGGAAAAGGACAGGGGTGGTATGATTATGCAGAGACAACACTTTGGAAGAACTAGTAAATAAATTATCTTTTTTTTTGAGATGGGAGTCAGAAAAGAGTATAACCCAGGTGGAAGGTGGACTAAAGACAACTAAATAAGGGTTGTGTAAGCCCATTCTCCCTAGCCTAGCATCAGAGCGGGATGCTAAATCTAAAGTAGCACTGCGCGAATGTATATGCAGAACTCCCTGCAGCTGCTTTGCAAAGCTCAAACATTCCTGGAGGTAATCCACAGACGCAGCCTCGGCCCTGGCAGAATGAGCTCTAAGATTTACAGGCAGCAGGACCTTCACCAGTGCGTGCCAGTGTGTGTGTATTTAGCAAATATGAAAGAAGACGGCATTAATCTTATTCCACAGGAAGTCTGAGACTTTCTGAAAGGCTTCGCCCTGCTTAAATTGAAATTAAGGACCCCCTTGACATCTGAAGGGTGCAGTTTAATCACTTCAGGTTGTTTATGTGGCCTGAGGGAAAAACACTTGCCATATAATAGGCTGATTTAGGTGGATTTCAGAGATGCCTTTAGAGAGAAGCTTAGGCTGAGACTGCAGAACCACCTGGACTTTGTGGAAGGCTGTCAAGGGTGGATCAGCCATTAAGAACTGCAGCATGCTCATTCGTCCTGCAGATGTTATGTTCATCAGCAAAACTGACTTTAGGGACAGGTGGAATTCTCCTAAGCTGCCCAAAAAGTGCCTCCCTCAGTCTTGTTGGTACCACATTCAAATTCAACATCAGAATAGGGTCTCTGAGCAGCGGTTACGCATTAATCAGCCCTTTAATAAACCTTGATATGGTCAGATGACTAAACGGCTTCACCCCAATCCACAGAATCATAAACTGAGATGGCAGAAAAATAGAACTTTATAAAAGAGACTGACAGTCCAAATGTTTTAAGATGCAGCAAATAGTTCAAGACAAGAGGGACTGGTGCAGATTCAGGAGGCAGGTTATCGTAAGATGCTCATGCAAAAAATCTCCTTTAGGTTTGTGCATAACACTTCATGGTAGAGGGCTTTCTAGAAAGCAAAAGGATGTCCTGCACCCCAAAAGAGAGAGTCCAGTGACAGTTAAAGCTCCATAACCCAAGCTACCAGATGAAGCACCACTCCATTCACTATGTCAGTAGATCAGGAGATACTTGACATCTCCAACAAGCATGAGACCCAATTATTATTATTTGTATTGAGATTCTGCCCAGAAGCCAGGGCCCCACTGTGCTGGGCAATGTACAGATATAACAAAGAGACAGTCCCTGCTCAAAGGAGCTTACAAGCTAAGTATAAGGTGATACAACAAATAAATGCAACGACGGGAGCAAAAGGAAATAATGTGACAATTATCAGCATAATAAGTAGTGGTCTCAGCACGCCAGCTGCCTAAGCACCATAGCAGAACATAAGAACAGCCATACTGGGTCAGACCAAAGGTCCATCCAGCCCAGTATCCTGTCTTCCGACAGTGGTCAGTGCCAGATGCATCAGAGGGAATGAACAGAACAAGGCAATTTATCAAGTGATCCATCCAGGTCATCCACAGCTTCTGGCTGTCAAAGGTTTAGGTTTCACATCCTCTGCAGTGAAGACAGATGCAAAGAATTTAACTTCTCTGTAACAGCCTTATCTTCCTTGAGTGCTCCTTTGGCACTTCGATTGTCCAGTGGTCCCCACTAATTGTTTGGCAGGCTTCCTGCTTCTGATATACTTAAAAAAAAATTCGCTGTTAGTTTTTGTGTTTTTTGCTAATTACTCATCAACTTCTTTTTTGGCCTGTGTAATTATACTTTTACACTTGACTTGCCAGAGTTTATGCTGCTTTCTATTTTTCTCAGTAGGATTTGACTTCCAATTTTTAAAGGATATCTTTTTGTTTCTAACCACCTCTTTTACTCTGTTTAGCCATGGTGGCAATTTTTGGTCCTTTTACTGTTGTTGGTTTTATTTGGGGTATACATGTTAGTTAATCCCTCTATTATGGTGTTTTTAAATAGCTTCCATGCAGCTTGCAGGCATTTCACCCTTCTGACTATTCCTTTTAATTTCTATTTAACTAGCTTCTTCATTTTTGTGTAGTTCCCCTTTTTGAAGTTAAATGCTACTGTGATGGGCTTCTTTGGTATTTCCCCCTTCCCGCTCCCCCGGATGTTAAATTTAATTATATTATGGTTGCTATTACCAAGTAGTTCCACTATATTCATCTCTTGGACCAGATCCTGTTTTAGGATTAAATCAAGAATTGCCTCTCCTCATGTTGGTTACAAAACTAGCTGCTTCAAGAAGCAGTCATCAATGGTGTCTAGAAATTTTATCTCTGCATCCCATCCTGAGGTGACATATACCCAGTCAGTACAGAGATAAGTGAAATCCCCCATTATTATTGGGTTTTCTGATTTTTGTAGCTTCTCTAATCTTCCTGAGCATTTCACAGTCACCATCCTGGTCAGGTGGTTGGTAGTATATTCCTATTTCTATACTCTTATTATTCAAGCATGGAATTTCTATCCATAGAGATTCAAGCTACCTTGGCAGCACAGCAAAGAAGAATTTGAAAGGGGACTACATGGTGGCTGTGTGGATTTTTATGGGAAACTCCTTCCAAGCATAAGGGGCAGCATGGGAGAATGCCTGAAGGTGCTTACTGGAAAACTTGACCAATGGGCAGTGAAGGCTGGCATCAGTGGCAGAACGGATGGGGGGAGTCAACATTTTGACAGCAAATGAGAGGTGTTAGGTAGCATGAGAACAGGCTGTAGAGAGCCTTAAAAGGGAAGACAAATTCTCTGTTTGATGCAGTGGAGAAAGGGAAGGGGTGCAAAAAGAGGGGTGATGTGGTTGAAGTGATGAGCCAGAAAAATGCAGTTTTGTTTTGAATAAATGAGGCAAGAGGGGAATTTCCAAGGCCACAAAGGAGGATCTGCAGTGGTCAAGATGTAAGGTGACGAGGTTTACTACTGTGGATGGAAAGGAAAGGTCACATGTTAGATTTACAGTGCAGGAAGAAGCAGAAAGATCTTAATGCAACGTGGATTTGAGAATCTAGAGCAGGGTGTACATCGAATATATGGCATGTAAAATGGATTTGGCTCACATGCGGTATTTATGTGACTTTTAACATACTCAGATTGTGCAGGATCTAAACTTTCATTTAAAAAAAAGTTTCTAGCTAGCAGTAGGGTTGCCAATTGTGGTTGGATGTATTCCTGGAGGTTTCATCACATGACATTAATCTTTAATTAAAGATGAGTCTTTAATTCCTGGAGACTCCACGCCAATCCTGGAAGGTTTGCAACCCTAGCTAGCAGGCAGCTGCGCCAACCCCGACAACCCCTAGAACTGACATCTGAGCACTGAAGAGTCCACCACTATACAGCACCAGAGCTACCTGATGGGAAAGTGCCAAGTGAAGGAGAAAGAGAGTCAGTGGCACCAGAATACTGATGGAATCTAGACCTCAAATGGATTTGAGGTGTCGGAATGGTATCTGAGGCCTCCAGAACTGAGGTCTGTAGAAGTGAATGACCCACATTTGATCCATGACCTCCGCTGGCATAATGGTTCCTCTTCTTCCCAGGGCCTGCGTTTCTCCTCAGAATGCTTCCCCTGCCACTCAAGTTTAAGGGCAGAGAAAAGCAAACCAAGAGCTTTTGACATATTCCAACTAAACTGTTGGACTTGGAGGCTCAAGGCTGCACGTTTGCATCCCCAACAGAGCCACCAAATATGCAACATCCTCCCGAGTCCTTCCCACCAGAGGTGGGCTCATCAATGCCTGGCACTGTCTTAGCCAAGAACTAGAGTTGGGATCTTGGCAGGCCCTCTGCTCAGCACTGGAGGGGGAGCCTGTCCTGGGGCCCCACTGCTTCCTGGAGTCCTTAATGTTCAGCCCTGAGGGGGTTGCCAGCACAACAGCTCCCGGTTCATTTGTGGTACTGGAGAAAGTGTGGGTGGTAATTTTGCACCATCACTTACAGGTGACTTATGTTCTTTAGTGTAGAGCCTGGATCAGAACCGGTTCCAAGCTTTAGCATTGAAAACTTTGACTGAGGAATCCAGAGGCTTCCCTTTACCTGAGGATGGGGTTTTGGCAGCTAAAGATGGCCTATCGTGGTCCTTCATGGAACCACAGCCAGAATTTGCTGTGCTCCAATGTCCAGCTCTGAAGAGCCACTTCAGATAAGGAGATCCCTGGCCTTTGGGCCTGAGAAAGCGGGAGATAAAACCTTGACAATCCTCACATTGCTCTGGAGAACAACTCTCCTTTAAACAAGCTTTTTTTGTCTTTAAAAGCACCCACCATAGTCTGTTAGAGTGCCATCAAGTCAGATCGATGCTGCCGCACACTTCAGCCATCTTATCATTCAGGGTGTGTTTTCACTGCACAGCTAACTCGGGCTTTTACTCACATGTTGCCCCAACCCCTGTCCCGTACGCATACCCAAAACTCTAACCTGAGTTTGGTGGTGCTTTAAACCCAGGCCAGTTGGCCTGTCTCGGACTACAGGCAAAAGCCTAGGTGTTCACTTCACTGGGTCTGGTAACCCGCCTACTTTGTAGTGAGGATACAGGCTAAGCCACTCCAATGCTGATAGTCCTCCAATGGCTTCACACAATTCCTGCTGTATGCCCTGAAGGGGGGACAACTCACTGGCAAAGAATCGTAGAGCAGCTCACCTTCCTGCAGCACAAAGAAACCTGGGGTATGGCCCCAGAAGTCCTAGTGAGTCACACAAGTGAGTGCCGCACCAGGACACAGTGATTTGAGTATAGCTTTCCAGTGTGGCTGATCTCACCCAGTCTAGGCTAAACCAGGTGCGTCAGACTCCAGTGCCACTCACCTGGGTTAACTCTGCAGTGAAGACATACCTTATTATAAAATTAAAGGTACAAAGGGGCTTGAAGTCTGGTCAAACTAGACTACAGGAATAAAGAGACACCCACAGAAAGGAAATGCAGTGATAAGGACCACATCCCTGATATAATCTCATACCACAGTGCCATAAGGGTCATGAGGTTCCAAATGAGCGTAATTCTGAAAGGGTTCAATCACCCGAGGACTTCTTACCCATTGGTGGGAATATGAAGAGGCATCCTCAAATAATAACAACGATTTGTAAGACACCAATATATAAATAACCCATCAGTACAAATAGGAATCTCAGTATGACAATGTTTCCACGAAGAAAAAAGAACTTCAAAACAATAACAATCAAAACAAATAGGGATCTCAGTATGACAGAGGATGCTTTGCTTTCACAGAGAAGAGAAAACTCACCCTTCAAAGCAGTAACCACAAACTTAGACAGTATGGTGATGGGCACCATAGAAAAGCCTAAAATAGCATAAACCTTCCATCAATCTCACACTAACACAGCATTCTAGAAAATGAAACCCAACCACAGACAGACTCATTGCTGATCTCCGCTCATTAGAGGGAAGTATTCATGGCTTCAACCAGTCCTAGTTTCCCATTATGGTCCTACCTACTTATGGATAGGATATAGCAAACCTATATCTCCACCTATTAAGCAACCCCCTTTTAAATTAATGCTAAAAACAGCACCATGAGGTCCTGGTGCTGCCACAATATAAATAATAAACAACAACAGATATTTGGAACTAAACCACACCTTAGTTTGTCCCTTCTCCACGTTGGGAGACCTGCAAAAGGTCAAGAAGTGAAGTATCTGAAAACCTGGATTTATAAAGAAAACTCTTCTGCAGCCTCAGTTACAGGTACCACCTTCCAGGGAGCGTCGCTCGACTTACCATGGTAGCGTAGACATCTCCGACGTTGAGCCAGCGGAGAGAGAAATATCCACATCAGTTGAATAGAGAACTAGGGCCTGAATTGAGGTTTCAATCTGAGTGAGGAGAATTAAGATATGACAGATATGTGATCAAAAATTGCTCAGTGAGTCTGCCTCTATGTGCCTGGGGAATTTCCTGAAATGCCAGAAGCAGGAGATTAATAAACTGAACACCCAAAGCATACCTGAGACAGTCTAGGGTGGAGCTATACATATACTTATGCATTACATGTGCTTGACTTAATGTCTGAATAGTCCCATTGAGTGGGACTACTCATGTGCATAAAGTTAAGCAGGTGTTTAAATGTTTGTAGCATCTGGGGACAATGACTAAGGGTATTTTCACCTTTTCTTTCCTGCCAGACGTACTAAAGATTCCTCCCCTTGCTTACTGGGTGTATTTAAAGAGAACCCACACAGAGTTAGAGCCTGTACAGCCTAGTGTTTGCAGTGCTTACGGGACCTGCCTCTGAGTTTGTTGTGCACAAAGCACGTAACCAGCCATCTAAAGAGCATGGTGTGCCAGAGAGCTCCCTGTAGGAGTCAGCTGCAGTGCATTATGAAATTATGTACTCATGCCCTAAGCTTTCGTCAACAGCACGGTTTTTATGAATATAAAATGTATGACATTTCTAAAAACCAAAACAGGAAGTTTTTCCGTTAAGGGGAAACTTTAAAAAACTGGACAGCATTGAACTGAAGTGTTCAGGTTCCCACAAATGGCCTTAACTTTGTTTCTGTATCTGCCCCCTACATGATCAGACTGTCCTCTAAGGCCTGGTCTTCACTAGGAAAAAAGGTGTGTTGCAGACGTGTTACAACCCCAATATAGAGAGGGTGATTTATATTTTAATGTGTTAGCTGGTGGGGGTCAACCACTGGAGGGAGCATAGGTTTTACCTTGACCAGCTAACACATGTTAAAATACAAATTGCTCTGTCTGCACTAAGGTTCTAACACCTAACACATGTTAAACACACTTTTTGTTCCTCCTGAAGAGAAGCCCCAATCTACCAAGCCACTCTCTCTCCTCTTACACTTCAGTTACACAGCAAAAAGTATCCAGCCTCTTCCCCATCTCTCCCTTATAATTCCCTCACACCAGCCATGGGGAGTTTCACAGCCATTTTAACCTTTTATTATATACAAGAGGTTAGACTTTATTTTATCCTGGAAGCCTTGAATCCTATATACACTTGTGATTCAATTACACATATCCTGCTCCATAAACTCTGGGGGATATAGCTAATAAGACCAACACCTGAAAACTGGAGACTTCTTAAGAGTCCACAGCCAGCCACTGAAGTATACAGTGCTTGTGTTCCCAGGTTTCAGAGTAACAGCCATGTTAGTCTGTATTCGCAAAAAGAAAAGGAGTACTTGTGGCACCTTAGAGACTAACCAATTTATTTGAGCATAAGCTTTCGTGAGCTTCCGATGAAGTGAGCTGTAGCTCACGAAAGCTTATGCGCAAATAAATTGGTTAGTCTCTAAGGTGCCACAAGTACTCCTTTTCTTTTTGTGTTCCCAGGGACCATGACAAACTGCCAAGGCAAACAGGGATTAAGATGCCAACTAGTTCTGACAGTTGTCACCAGCATGTATCTATTTCTTTATTTAGATTTCAGATTTAAACAAGTTTCACACCAAAGAGGACCTGGGCTGAACACACATGTACAAAACACATGGATATAGGAGATATGAAGTAAAATGTGACCAAAGCAGCATTACTTCCTCCCCCACACACCACTGAATCATCAGATGTGATCAAGGCACCTTAAAATTCCCCAGTGCACTTTCCCATTAGCCACAAATCCCATCCTCGGTGCATATGAGCTTTGCAGTGTGCCAGGAAAGTCAAAAAATTCAAGCCAGGGAGGACAGAAATTCCAAGGGAAAGGGCCCATGTCATGGATAGGACAGACTGGGTGATGGGGACATTGGACAGATTTCAGGGTATTTAGATGAACTTAACTCTGCATTTCCATGCTTTCCCACATTTGTTCAGATGACGCTTGATGTAGTGGGGAACCAAACTCCAAACACACACTACATCTGGGGAAGATGCCTGATGAATCTACCTCTGACAGAGAAGGACTAAGGACCTCACTCCCTGCCTACATTTGCTTACACCCCCAAATGCCCTCAAGGAGTAAAAATCACTTCAAACTCAAATCCATTGGGACCCCCTCAGACAAGGCCGGATTAATGCAGGGGCTTTAGGGGCTGCAGCCTCGGGCTAAGGGGGGCCCCGCAGGCCACATGCAGCCTGCTGCGTCTTTTCATCCGGCCCACAGCAAGTCTCTGTGCCACAGGCCAGACACCAGTCCCCGAGCCACCCCTCACCCTGGGGTGGAGCCGCAAGTGCCGGCTCGCCAATGTGCCCCAGGCAAGGGGCATTCAGGGAATCTCTGCACACTGTCCCTGTCCCCAGCGCCGGCTCCGCAGCTCCCCTTGGCTGGGTACAACAGCCAGTGGGAGCTGCGGAGGCGGCACCTGCGGGCTCGGGCAGTGTGCACCGCACAGAGCAGCCTGGCCCCTCTGCCTAGTGGCCGGACATGCTGGCCACCTCGGGGAGCAGAGCAGTGCGGAGCCAGGGCAGGCAGGAATCCTGCCTTAGCCCTGCTGCACCGCTGACCAGGAGCCGCCCAAGGTAAGCGCCTCCTGGCCGGAGCCTACACCCCGCACCCTCTCCTGCACCCCAACCCCCTACCCCACAGCCCCCTCCCGCACCCAAGCTCCCTCCCAGAGCCCATCTCCTGCTGCACCGCAACCCCGTCCCATCCCTGGCCCCACCCCACAGCTGGAGCTGCATCCCTTCCTGCACCCCAATCCCCTGCCCCTGTCCTGAGCCCACTCGACAGCTCCTGCAGCCCCACAAAATCTATTAGCCCCAGGCCCACAGGAGAGTTAATCTGGCCCTACCCTCAGAGCCCCCATTTCACACTGGTGGGGGACAGCAAATCCATCCCAACCTCTTATACACCTGTGTCCTGAGGGGCAGCCCCCACACACTTGGTTGAGACCCTTTCACAGCCCATATTTTGCACTGTCCCACATTGCTTTGCACTTTTTCAAACTGAGACTGTATCACAACTGGTTATGAAATGAACTGACTCATTCTGGCTTCTCATCTGTAAGTGAGTTACGACAGCTCACTGTGACTCTCACTCAGTACTTTCTCTGATGGTTTTTAAGGTTAATCCCTTTATGGGGGTGTATTACAAAGACTGGGGCAAGGATGCACCTGCAGAGTTTAGATAAGAGAAGAACCGAGGTTTAGGAAGCAGAGTATTACCGAGCCGGGGAGTTGCAGGCGGGATCCGGATGAGATTTGCTGGGCCAGGGGCGCCGCAGCAGGAGCGGATACAAAGGTGGTAACTGCCTCACTATCTGGGAGTGGAGCTGCCCGTGTCTGGTCGTGGGAGAAGAGGAATTGGGGGGGCTTAGAGACCCCCCTTCCTCCTCCTGCACTAATCCTGGGGGGGCTCTGGGGGGGTGCACCTCCCCCCTTTTATAGGGGCAGCTGTGCTGGGACACCCCTAATCCTCCCCTCTTCCTGCACTAATCCTGGGGGGCTCTGGGGGGGTGAACCTCCCCCCTTTTATAGGGGCAGCTGTGCTGGGGCACCCCTAATCCTCCCCTCTTCCTGCACTAATCCTGGGGGGCTCTGGGGGGGTGCACCTCCCCCCTTTTATAGGGGCAGCTGTGCTGGGGCACCCCTAATCCTCCCCTCTTCCTGCACTAATCCTGGGGGGGCTCTGGGGGGGTAAACCTCCCCCCTTTTATAGGGGCAGCTGTGCTGGGGCACCCCTAATCCTCCCCTCTTCCTGCGCTAAACCTGGGGGGGGTCTGGGGAGGGCGCACCTCTATTTCGGGGGGGGTTAGCGGGGGAACCCTCGATCCCCCCCACACTGATGAGGGGCGGCCTGGGGGTTTCAGCCCCGCTCTCGGAGCGAAGGCCGGGGGGGGGGGGGCGAGGGCCCCGCAGATGAAAAGGGGGAGGGGGCTATGAGGCGCTCGTGTTCCGGGCAGGACGCCTGGGTCCCCCCGCTCCTGCCCTGGGGGCGGCTCCACCTTGGCCGGGGGTGGGGGTGCTGCGTGAACCATCACAGACCCGAAGGAAGATTCCCAGGCCCGGCCGACGCCTATACCAAAATGGCGGCGGCTGCGGCGAACGTCCTACGGGGAGGCGAAGGGGACAGAATACAGAAGCCGAAACAAGAAAAGGAGGACTTGTGGCACCTTAGAGACTAACCAATGTATTTGAGCATGAGCTTTCCTGAGCTACAGCTCACTTCATCGGATGCATGCCGTGGAAACTGCAGCAGACTTTATATACACACAGAGAATATGAAACAATACCTCCTCCCACCCCACTGTCCTGCTGGTAATAGTTTATCTAAAGTGATCAACAGGTGGGCCATTTCCAGCACAAATCCAGGTTTTCTCACCCTCCACCCCCCCACACAAATTCACTCTCCTGCTGGTGCTAGCCCATCCAAAGTGACAACTCTTTACATAATCAAGTCGGGCTATTTCCTGCATAGATCCAGGTTTTCTCACATCCCCCCCACCCCCATACACACACAAACTCACTCTCCTGCTGGTAATAGCTCATCTAAACTGACCACTCTCCAAGTTTAAATCCAAGTTAAACCAGAACATCTGGGGGGGGAGGAAAAAACAAGAGGAAATAGGCTACCTTGCATAATGACTTAGCCACTCCCAGTCTCTATTTAAGCCTAAATTAATAGTATCCAATTTGCAAATGAATTCCAATTCAGCAGTTTCTCGCTGGAGTCTGGATTTGAAGTTTTTTTCTTTTAAGATAGCGACCTTCATGTCTGTGATTGCGTGACCAGAGAGATTGAAGTGTTCTCCGACTGGTTTATGAATGTTATAATTCTTGACATCTGATTTGTGTCCATTTATTCTTTTACGTAGAGACTGTCCAGTTTGACCAATGTACATAGCAGAGGGGCATTGCTGGCACATGATGGCATATATCACATTGGTGGATGTGCAGGTGAACGAGCCTCTGATAGTGTGGCTGATGTTATTAGGCCCTGTGATGGTGTCCCCTGAATAGATATGTGGGCACAATTGGCAACGGGCTTTGTTGCAAGGATAAGTTCCTGGGTTAGTGGTTCTGTTGTGTGGTATGTGGTTGTTGGTGAGTATTTGCTTCAGGTTGCGGGGCTGTCTGTAGGCAAGGACTGGCCTGTCTCCCAAGACTTGTGAGAGTGTTGGGTCATCCTTTAGGATAGGTTGTAGATCCTTAATAATGCGTTGGAGGGGTTTTAGTTGGGGGCTGAAGGTGACCGCTAGTGGCGTTCTGTTATTTTCTTTGTTAGGCCTGTCCTGTAGTAGGTAACTTCTGGGAACTCTTCTGGCTTAAAATCAATACGACTTGATTATGTAAAGAGTTGTCACTTTGGATGGGCTAGCACCAGCAGGAGAGTGAATTTGTTGGGGGGGTGGAGGGTGAGAAAACCTGGATTTGTGCTGGAAATGGCCCACCTGTTGATCACTTTAGATAAGCTATTACCAGCAGGACAGTGGGGTGGGAGGAGGTATTGTTTCATATTCTCTGTGTGTATATAAAGTCTGCTGCAGTTTCCACGGTATACATCTGATGAAGTGAGCTGTAGCTCACGAAAGCTCATGCTCAAATAAATTGGTTAGTCTCTAAGGTGCCACAAGTACTCCTTTTCTTTTTGCGAATACAGATTAACACGGCTGTTCCTCTGAAAGAAGCCGAAACGGCGCCTGAGCGCGCCGCCCGGCCCTGCGGCTGCGCACTGAGTTCAATGAGGGGGGCCGGGGCCGTGTGGAGGGGGGAGATGGGAGTGGCGGGAGCAGGCCGGGCAGAAGGGCGGGGCTCGGCTGCATGGAGGGGGGTTGGGAGCATGGAGAGGGGCTGGGTGGCATAGGGGGGCTGGGCTGCATGGGGTGGCCGGGTGACATGGAGGAATCATAGAATATCAGGGTTGGAAGGGACCTCAGGAGATCATCTAGTCCAACCCCCTGCTCAAAGCAAGACCAATCCCCAATTTTTGCCCCAGATCCCTAAATGCCCCCCTCAAGGATTGAACTCACAACCCTGGGGAGAGACAGTCTCACCAACCCCAAGTGTCCAAAAATCCCGCGTCATCACGAGACTGGCATAAAAATAATGAATGACTTTTTGAAAAGTAATCCATGCGGGTCCTTTTTCTAGCCGGTAGCTGCACTCGCATCACGGCCTCGAGTTTTTCTCAACGAGGGCGAGGGCTAGACGCTCTGAGGGTGTTTTTCGGTTTGTTTGTTTTTTCATGAAAGCTGAGATAACCCCCACATGCCAGTAGCTGGGGCACGAAGCAAAACACCCAGATTCCTGCCCTGCTGCTGGCAGAACACATGGCCATGGTCAGGCAGCGGGAAAGCTGTGACCCGTGCCTAGCCCACTGTTCATAACTATCTCATTGGTACCTTGTGCTTCCCCTATTGCCCCTTGCCCTGGATTTAGGGTACGTCTACACTGCAGCTGGGCGCTGCAGCAGGAGCGGATACAAAGGTGGTAACTGCCTCACTATCTGGGAGTGGAGCTGCCCGTGTCTGGTCGTGGGAGAAGAGGAATTGGGGGGGCTTAGAGACCCCCCTTCCTCCTCCTGCACTAATCCTGGGGGGGCCTCTGGGGGGGTGCACCTCCCCCCTTTTATAGGGGCAGCTGTGCTGGGACACCCCTAATCCTCCCCTCTTCCTGCACTAATCCTGGGGGGTGCACTTCCCCCCTTTTATAGTGGCAGCTGTGCTGGGACACCCCTAATCCTCCCCTCTTCCTGCACTAATCCTGTGGGGTGCACTGGGGGGTAAACCTCCCCCCTTTTATAGGGGCAGCTGTGCTGGGGCACCCCTAATCCTCCCCTCTTCCTGCACTAATCCTGGGGGGGCACACCTTCCCCCTTTTATAGGGACAGCTGTGCTGGGGCACCCCTAATCCTCCCCTCTTCCTGCACTAATCCTGGGGGGCTCTGGGGGGGTGCACCTCCCCCCTTTTATAGGGGCAGCTGTGCTGGGGCACCCCTAATCCTCCCCTCTTCCTGCACTAATCCTGGGGGGTGCACTGGGGGGGTAAACCTCCCCCCTTTATAGGGGCAGCTGTGCTGGGACATCCCTAATCCTCCCCTCTTCCTGCACTAATCCTGGGGGGCTCTGGGGGGTGCACCTCCCCCCTTTTATAGGGGCAGCTGTGCTAGGGCACCCCTAATCCTCCCCTCTTCCTGCACTAATCCTGGGGGGGCTCTGGGGGGGTGAACCTCCCCCCTTTATAGGGGCAGCTGTGCTGGGACATCCCTAATCCTCCCCTCTTCCTGCACTAATCCTGGGGGGTGCACCTCCCCCCTTTTATAGGGGCAGCTGTGCTGGGGCACCCCTAATCCTCCCCTCTTCCTGCACTAATCCTGGGGGGTGCACTGGGGGGGTAAACCTCCCCCCTTTATAGGGGCAGCTGTGCTGGGACATCCCTAATCCTCCCCTCTTCCTGCACTAATCCTGGGGGGTGCACCTCCCCCCTTTTATAGGGGCAGCTGTGCTGGGGCACCCCTAATCCTCCCCTCTTCCTGCACTAATCCTGGGGGGGTGCACTGGGGGGGGTAAACCTCCCCCCTTTATAGGGGCAGCTGTGCTGGTACATCCCTAATCCTCCCCTCTTCCTGCACTAATCCTGGGGGGCTCTGGGGGGTGCACCTCCCCCCTTTTATAGGGGCAGCTGTGCTAGGGCACCCCTAATCCTCCCCTCTTCCTGCACTAATCCTGGGGGGGCTCTGGGGGGGTGAACCTCCCCCCTTTATAGGGGCAGCTGTGCTGGGACATCCCTAATCCTCCCCTCTTCCTGCACTAATCCTGGGGGGTGCACCTCCCCCCTTTTATAGGGGCAGCTGTGCTGGGGCACCCCTAATCCTCCCCTCTTCCTGCACTAATCCTGGGGGGTGCACTGGGGGGGGTGCACCTCCCCCCTTTTATAGGGGCAGCTGTGCTGGGGCACCCCTAATCCTCCCCTCTTCCTGCACTAATCCTGGGGGGGCTCTGGGGGGGTGAAGCTGGGAGGTGTGATTGCAGAGTGGGTAGACGTACCGAGCTAGAATACCAGAGCTCGCTCCAGTAACAATAGCCACGGACACAGCCATGGCGGCGTGGGCTGAACAAGCTGTCGGTCTCCTGCGTATGTTGCTAACTCATGTTGCTAACTCGTGCCTCTGTCCGTGCTCCTGTGGTGACGTGCAGCTGCTGTTACTCCAGCTCGCTTTGATCTAGCTGCATCAAAGATGATGCAGATACATCTACAATCTCAACTCCTGATTGCAGCATGGGCAGACCCTTCGATTGTGCCCTCCTTCAGGCAGGGACTGTCTCTGTGTTATAGGTTTGTATTGTACCTGGCACAAGGGGCCCTACCTCTGTGTGCCACTGTAATGCAAACGGTAAATGATGGGGACTGAACTTTTAGTATTTGTTGCATGCTTTACTGTTAGAGTGACCATATTTCCTGAAGTAAAAATGGAACGGCCTGGGGCTCGCCTGAGCTGCCCCGCAAACCCCCCTCCGCCCCCACAAGGCTAGCCAGAGCCACCCCCGCCACCCGGGGCTGGGGCTGATTCCCTATCCCACCCCAAGCTCCGTGCCCCATGCTGCCCATGGCTGGGTCTGACACCCCCCCCCCCCGCCAGAATTCTGTGCTGCCCAGGGCTGAGGCTACTCCTCCCTGTCCCCCGAGCTCTGTGCCCCATGCTGCCCGATCCCCATGCCGCCCAAGCCCCGTGCCGCCCGCAGCTGGGACTGAGCACCCAAGTCCCATGCTGTCCACGGCTGGGGCTGACCCCTCCCCCGTGAGATCTGCATTGCTCAGGGCTGGGGCTGATCCCACCCCTGAGCTTCATGCCCCGTGCCACCTGTGACTGACCCCCCCGAGCTCCATGCCAACCGTGGCTGTGGCTGACCTCCCACTGCCCAGCACCTCGCCCCCCCCCCCACATTTCTCCATGCCCCCCCTAGGGGGGCACACCCATCTTTTCTGGTAAACTGGGCATTTGTTCGTTTGCGCTTGCCAACTGATCAGTTGGGAACAGCAAACAGCACAAATGCCCGTTTTTGTCAAAAAAGTCGGGTTGGCCAGGACAGGGCTTCGAACGAGGACTATCCTGGCCACAACAGGACGTATGGTCACCCTACTCATTGCCTCATTCAGTATCCTTCAGTGAGAAAATATCCTCACCTTTAGGCCCACTGCTACTTCTGCCCTTTTTAAAGTCTAAACCTAAGAGCATCCACTCAGGAGTTTGCACAGGTTAACTAAATGGGTTTAAATTCGCCCCTCTGGTTGTACTGATGCAACTTGCACCTATAGAAAAGCCCTTTCTCTCTCTCTTCCCTCTGTCTCTCCTCCCTTCTTCTCTCTGTGTTTCCTTCCCGGCAACAATTTCCACCCTCTTCCCCACCGTCCTCTGCTAAAATGATCAGTGATTACATAGTTAATGTTGACACTTCAATGTCAGTATTGGGCTTTAGAGCTGACACGCCAATGAGATTAAATGGGATATGGGGAGCTCACAAGTCCTCCTGAAGTCATAGTTTGAGGCTCTTTGCTGACGTTCAGGCAGATAACAGTGAACTGATTTACCCTTGGGTCACCGTTGGAAGGTTTTCGTCCCAACCATAAGGCCTAGACATTTTACTTTTTTCTTAATGAAAGATGAGGTTCTGGGCTATTCACCCCTTCTTGTCAACTGTTGGGAATGGGCCACATCCACCCTGATTGAATTAGCCTCGTTAGCACTCACCCCCCGCTTGGTAAGGCAATTCCCATCTTTTCATGTGCTGTACATTTACACCTGCCTACTGTATTTTTCACTCCATGCACCTGATGGAAGTGGGTTATAGCCCATGAAAGCTTATGCCCAAATAAATTTGTTAGTCTCTGAGGTGCCACAAAGACTCCTTTACCTGGGCTATCTGAATACTGCAAGGCACATAAATACATCAGAGAGGCCGGATGTTTGACACTTCTGTCCTAAAGTACCCTTGGATTAAGGATGCTATTTAAGTGTAAGATTTATTCTATTGCTAAAAGTTTTGGGTGTTTGTTTTGATCAGCAAAGCACCGAATGACAAATGTCACTAATCCTTCCAGTGTCCTCTATCTGTGATTTCAGAACCATGAGCAAGCTTTGGAGGTGAGGAGATCGGAGGCTGGAATCTCTACAGCTCTCTGGACTCTGCTACCTCCAGCTCAGACACGGTTATAGCGAGAGAGAGAGCCCGGCACATGCAGCAGTTTCCATAGCTCGTGTGCCTTGCAGAGAGAGGACGGACACGGAGATCGTTCTGCGGGGAAACTCCAAATGGAAGAGCGTCTTAATGGCAATGAAAATGCAGAGGGAGGAGGAGAGAATTCTATTCAGCAGCACCAGCAGCTGATGGAGCCTCTTAATTGTCATGGACACCTGGACGGAGGAGACAAACCAGGTAACTTAGGGCTTGTCTGCACAGAGAAATTTACCAGTATAATTATACCATTGTAGTTATACCAGTATAACTCCCTGTGTGGACACTCCTATTCTGGAATAAATGTATCTCCATGGGGAGCTACCCCGGTATAACCGTAGTGGTTTAATATTACTGGCATGGCCTGTACCAGTAAATTCTCCCATGGAGACAAGCGCCCTTAACCCTCACTCTCTAGGAAATGCTTAGCGGGAGAGACAGAGACTAAGGGCTTGGCCACATGGGAAAGTTATCCCCATATAAGCTAAGATGTGACTTTAAACGGATATACCTACCCCAGTACAACCCCCATGTGGACTCTCTTATTCTGGTCTGTGCGTATGCAATTCTCTAGTCCAGTGGTTCTCAACCTATTACCATTGTGGGCCGCATCCCATACGACCTGTGTGGCCCTGAGGATGTCACGTGGGCCGCAGCTCTGTGCTGGCTGGGCCACAGCTCAAGAACCACTTGTCTGGTCAGTGTGTGTTCGATTCCTGGTGTGGTTGGCAAAGATGGGGTTATCACCTGTAGAAAAAGCTTATGGTACCTTGATACCTATATAAATGTGTTCACGCTAGGGGGGGCTGTACTGGCGTCATTAAAGGAATACAAATTTTTGTGCAGTTAATGCCTTAGTTCCCAAGAGAATCAGTGTTCTGTACCTTATCCTGGATCTCTGATAATAGAACGGATCCCTACATTATTGTGGTTTATATTACCACAGCACCTAGAGGTCCTGCTGAGATCAGGACCCCTGCTGGAAGGCTGTGCCTTGTTCTGGTATTGGCCATTGCCCAGCATGGACCTGAAATATTTTCTGTGGTTTAGACACAGAGACCTGGGAGTCAACTCTTCAGAAATCTAGGGCCTTGCTCCGGTGCTGTGGGTTGAGAGTAGGGAATGTGCTTCCCTAGAGAAACTGTGGGGACTTGTGGTTAAGGCACTGGATTAAAACTAAGGAGAATTGGGTTCCTCACTCTGACTTCCTTTGTGACCTTAGGCAAGTCACTTAATCTTTCTATGCCTCAGTTCCTCAACTGTAGAATGGGGAAAGTAAACCTTCCTTTATGTGTCTTGTCTATTTAGATTGTAAGCCCTTTAGGGCAGGGACTGTCTCTCCCTGTGTGTCTGTGCAGGGCTTGGCTCAATGGGGCCCTGATCTCAGCTGGAGTCTGTAGATGTTACTGGAAATCAACCACTGCAGTGTACTTGTAGCCGTGTGGGTCCCAGGACATTACAGAGACAAGGCAGGGGAGGTGATGTATTTTATTGGACCACCTTCTGTTGCTGAGAGAGACACGCTTTTGAGTTTACACAGAATTGAAGAAGAGCTCTGTGTAGCTTGAATGCTGTCTCTTTCACCAACAGAAATGGGTCCAATAAAAGCTATTACCTCACACATCTTGTCTCACTGGAAATCAAATAATTTCCGTTATTATTTAGATAACACCGCTTCCCCAAAGAGCACTAATTGTTTTTCTCTCCCTATTTTAGGATATTCATGTAACCGCAAGTTCAAGAAACGTGCTCTCGTAGCTGGAGTCCTCTTAGTTTTCTTAGTTTTGATCGTTATCATCATTGTTCTGGCTGGTGAGTTCCCAGCCCTCAGTCTCTGCACTTCCTGTTTCGCCTTGGAGCGATCACAGTCACACATTCGCACCTCCTCAGCCTCCAACTTCCGCTCCTTGGCCCTCTGACTACTTCATCACTGGCCCTTTAAATCAGCTCTCTCCTGTCACCCAGGGGTGACCATCCCTGTGCCTCTACTGCAATGAAAGGATTGCATTTCGAGCACCCCCGGGAATGCAGGAAGTCAGCGCCTATGGTAGAGGGGGCCAGAGATTTGCCATAGACAGTGTCTGGAATCGCTGTGACAATCAGTAACATGAAATGGCATCTAGGTGTCACAGGGGAACTGGTCCCTTTAAGGGGAGATGGGGCCAGCCCCACCCCTGTGCTAGTTAATTAGTTGCTTCCAAGCCTGAGGGAGGGGGACTAAGGAGGGTCAAGTGAGAGCTTAATCACCTGGGCCTTATAAAGGGACTGAGAGCTGGACCCACAGGGAACAGGCAGGCTCCCTTGGAAGGTCTTGAGCAAGGGTCTGTAAGGAAAAGGGCTAGGAACTGGGTGTAGAGGGTGAGCTGATGGGAAGTTCAGGGGGACATCTTTGTTTGTTTGGGACTTCTTAATTTGGACCCTTGGTAACCTGGAAGGGGATATGTTTGTTGTGGACTTGAATGGAGGATGAAGCCACATCTGCAGCACAGAGCAGTGGCTGGGAAGCTGAGGAGACCAACCTTGGAGAGGGAAACTGAGGCCCGGAGCGGCAGCTGCACTATCCTTGGACAAGAGGGGGCATTATGCGTCAGCCACACCCCAGGGACAGTAGGTTTTAATGCCGTGCCACTGTATCAAAGCATGACTGATCATCACAGCCTTTTTCAAACTCTTCCTTTTTCACTCTGTAACGTGTGACTCTCAGGCCTGATTTATACTTGGAAATAGTACCAGTATAACAGTGTCAGGGGTGTGATTTATTCCTGACACGATTACGTCGGTATTACCTCTCGTGTGGACACAGTTATAGTGTGAGAAAGGTGCCTTACACCAATATAGCGTATTCCCCTTTCCCATTCAGGAATAGCTATGCTGCTGTGGGCACTTTTATACTGGCATAACCACATCCGCACTAGGGGGTGAGATGGCTTAATTTCTACCCGGATCACTAAAGCAATCCAACTTTCTAGTGTAGACAAGGCCTCTGTCTCATGTGGCGGTAGAATGCGCTGGCACAACTTTTCTACTGGGGGCGCTGAGAGCCATTGAACCAATCTGTAGACCCTGGATATGATGATGGAAACCACTTCAAGCCAGGGGGTGCAGCAGCCCCCCTAGTTCCAGCACCTGTGGTGCACTGAGCTGGGTTCAAACCTGGGGCTGGAAGCTTTTCTGCTGTTCTTGCTGCGTTTTAAACCGAGAGCGATACTGCCTTGATGGCCCGCGTCTTGGGGGAGCGTGTCACCTGTGCAGTAGGATGCAGGAATTGGAGATGTTCCTTCCTTTCAGGGAAATGCGAGTGTAACTCATTCACCTGCCCTCCTAGGAAGTAATGCAAAGAACCGAAACAGACTCCTCAAAATATGAGTCCCCAGCCCCTACTGCCTAAATCGCTCCTGTGATCTGCAGCCCTGGGGATGGGCTCATCGCCCCCTCTGCACATTCGTGTCTGTTCCCAGCCGACTCCACAGCGCGGGGCGGATCATGGGAGAATCAAGGGTGGGGAAGGGCCAAAGTTGCCCTCTCAGCATTGCCTCGGAGTCTGTGACAGAAGAGGAACATCCGTCCCGGCTGGGAACTGGCTCTGAGTGGCACCTCCCCACTGCCCATGTCACCAGCCTCCCCTGACAGAGGCCGGGCCATTCCCTGGGGCTTCGCTGGTGTGGGGTGCCTGGGGCTAGGGCAGAGGTACCAGCCCTGACTCCCACAGCACTCCCAGAGCAGCTCCCCTGCATTTACAGCTAGGGGACCGTGACCCCTGCCTGGAGACTAGGGGGATGATGGTGTCTCCCAGACTACGTATCCCCTCAGGAGGAGGTGGTGGTCCAGGCCCAAGATTTCCTATTTCATGCTGGGAATTTGAGTGTGATTTGGGGTCATTTCTCATGCCCCCTTTTGTCCCTCAGATCCTCCGGTTGGTTTAATGAAGGGCTCTAGTTCTGAGAACATTTATTGCCCCTTACCCCCCTCCTATACAGAGAGGGAGAGAATCTCTGACCCTGTTTGACTTTCTCATTTTCAGTGGTAGCATCTAACCCACCGTCCGCTGGTCCTGATCCTCCGGCTGCTGCTCGCTGCTGCCTGGACGGCTGGGTCGGGTTCAGAGGGAAATGCTATTATTTCTCTGAGGCCGAAGGGAACTGGAACAACAGCCAGAGGAACTGCTCCTCCTCCAGTGCCTCCTTGGCTGCGATTGACACCCAGCAGGAAATGGTGAGAGAGAGACCCTTTCAGACTTTAGAGCAGTGGTCCCCAAGCTTTTGAGGGTTGTGCCCCCCCATCATTCCCCCCCCCCAGAGGTGGAGGTTCCTGGAGGTGGGTCTGATCGCCCCCATGCTGCTGGGAGCCCCCCAGCCCGAGGCTCCAAGCTGCTAGTCCGGGCTGGGCTCGGGAGGGACAGGACTTGCTCTTCCCCGGCACAGCTGCTTGCGGGCGGGAGTTGGGGGGAGATCTGACCGACCTCTGGGTACCTCCGGAGCTGCTGCCCAGCCCTGGAGCTTCCTGCAGCTGGGGGAGGTACCCGGAGGTGGGTCTGATCTCCCCTGAGAGCAGCTGTGCAAGGGAAGTGTAAGTCCTGTCCCACCCCATCCCAGGGACTAGCAACTGGAGTCGGGGGCACAGTAGGAGCCCCTAGCTCCTGCACTCCACCCCCCCACACCCCGCGCATAGGTAGATTTCACGGAGGAGGTCTGATTTCATGGTCCATGACGCGTTTTTCACGGCCGTGAATTTGGTAAGGTCCCAGCCGTAACCTTAACAAGGGCGACTTTGCTGTCGCTGGCAGCTAGAACAGTTTTGCAGACTGCACTAGGCCCCATCGGCAGCACAGAGAGACTCAAATGCAGGTTGTGACAGGATGGGAGGGATAGTTCAGTGGTTTGAGCATCGGCCTGCTAAACCCAGGGTTGTGAGTTCAATCCTTGCAGGGACCATTTAGGGATCTGGGGCAAAAATTGGGGGTTTGGTCCTGCTTTGAGCAGGGGGTTGGACTAGATGACCTCCTGAGGCCCTTCCGACTCTGATATTTTATGATGAATATCTTCCTTTTTTGGAAAGGCTTTCATTAAGCGCCATAAAGACCTCTCTGAGCACTGGATCGGCCTCCGGAGGGAACCGGGTCAGCCCTGGAAATGGACCAATGGCACCGAATTCAATCACTGGTGAGTTGTCTTTCTTGTCAATGGGGGGCCCTATCAGGGAAGTTGGCTTAGCTACAGATGTGACGAGTTAGCTGCCTCCCAGCTGATAGGGCTGAGGCCAGGGATCACAAGAGAGGATCAGGTGACTTGCAAGCTTAGATCAAAGGTCAGCAAGCTGCTCCGCTGAGAGCTGCAGGGAGCAGGTAGGTGCTTGCTGGAAGCAGAGCCCGGTTTAGTTCTTTGCTTTATGTTGAACTGTTTTGAGTAGTAAAACATATCCCTGAGGAAATGGACAGAACTGCTGTTGTAACTTGAAAGGATACCTCTGAGACAAGTCTTAAGAGCTCAGCTGATTACAGCTGGACTTAACCCAACCCTACTAAGGCTGTTTTCAACGTCCACACACAACTGTTTTGTTGCTGACCATTTTAACAGAAGCATCAAGCCAGCATACTTTCCGCATCGCCACTGGATGAAGTCCCAGATCCTGGGGCAGATAGTTGCTATCACGGATTGCTGGCGTTGTGAAAGAAAAATTCAACCCCCTTCCTCAAATTTAGTCTTCTCCTTCATGTCCCCAAAATGGGGAGAGACAAAAGTGATGCATCCCCTTCCCAGTGACCAACATTTCAACTGCTTGGGTCCCCAAACTCAGTATTTTCCTAGATAAGAAAAGCCCCAGCTCTCCCTAACCTAGCTGCTTAAACTTCCCAGTTCTCCTTGACAACTTCTGTGATGCAATTGTGTTTGGAACTTTGCACCAAAATTTTGCATCACAGTGAAATTAAAAATCGGAGAGCACCGTTTAATGTGAACCATAACAAGGGGCTGTTAGACGAACTGGACTGTACAAAAGTGAAAGGGGACAGTGCTACATAATTTAGAGGCCCTTGCCGCTTGCTTTCTGTCCGCTGCGCTGCACAGAATACGAAGCCTTGACTTTAATTCTGTGCTGCTTGCAATGCAGGTTCGCAGTCAGAGCGCACGGCGAGTGTGCGTATCTGAATGATGAAGCCGTCACCTCTTCCTGGTGCGACACGGTGCGATACTGGATCTGCAGCAAGCCTGCGGGACTTATGCCGAGAGAGCAGAACGGAGCGCAAGGGCAATTGGAGACGTCAGAGCTCAGCTGAAGTGCTACTGTATGCACAAGGATGCCCGCACACCCGCCCCGACTTTTCTACTCAACCTAATTGAACCTAGGTTGTATCAATTTAGATCAGCTCTGGGGCTGAAGCATCCATGGGGGAAAAAAACAGGGGACGCTCAGCACCCGCCACCCACACTGGCTGGCCGGCTCCCTGGCTGGCTGCGGATCAGCTGTTCTGGAACCCATGGGGCTGGCTGTGGATCAGCGAGCGGGAGGCACTCAGGGGAGGGGCGGAGAGGAGCGAGTGGCAGGTGGGACCTCAGGGCAGGGGGTGGGAAGAGGTGGAGCAAGGGTGGAGCAGGGGCGAAGCCCCCACTGGAAAAAAAACAAAAGTCGGTGCCTGTGATCCAGCTGCTGGCACCCTGCACTTAAAATCCATCAATGTGACGAAAGAGAAGTCGCTGCTGTTTGTCCTTCAGAGGGTACAATCATTATATTTGACAGTGCCATACCTGCCCCCCACTATGAGTAGGGCCCTACCAAATTCACGGTCCATTTTGGTCAATTTCACAGCATAGGATTTTAAAAATTGTAAATGTCATGATTTCAGCTATTTAAAGGAGCTGTGGGGGGGGGAGGGGTTGCAAGGTTATTGTAGGGGGGGTTGCAGTTATTGTAGGGGGGGTTGCAGTTGTAGGGGGGGGTTGGAGTGCCGCCACTCTCCGACCACCCAGCTCTGAAGGCAGCAGCGCAGAAGTAAGGGTGGCAATACCGCGATCCCCCCAAAATAACCTTGCAACCCCCCTGCAAACCCTTTTGGGTCAGGACCCCCAATTTGAGAAGCGCTGGTCTCCCCTGTGAAATCTGTATAATATAGGGTAAAAGCACACAAAAGAGCATATTTTACAGGGGGAGACCAGATTTCATGGTCCGTGACGCATTTTTCATGGCCGTGACTTTGGTAGGGCCCTACCTATGGCAGGCGCTGTCCTTGGCCTGAGGAACTTACAACCCAAGCCGATGAAACGGGTAGGGACGAGATACAAAGCGAGCATGATGATGGTTAGGCACAGGTCGTAAGTTCCAATGAAACCAGTGTGTGTGGTTTAATGCTTGTAATTTAACTCTGTCATTGCATATTTCTCTTTTTAAGATCTCCCTCAGTTCCTCCTAAACTTTGGCTATGACAGTGCCATCTATTTGTTCACAAACTGTCGTCAGATTAGGCCAGTTCTTGATATAGTGCTCAAAACAGTCCACGACTGAGTTCCATCCCACGTCTTGTGGGAGAGTTAGCTTGGTTCCTCCCACTTTTTTCAGAGCAGCTGCTTCCAAGTGGTTGTAAGGGAAGTATTTTGCAATTTCATCAACATTAGCCTTTATTTTTGGAAAACTGAAGTCTTTGGCTAGGAGGTGCATCAAAGGAGCACTGCAACCGTATGTTGTTAGCTTGGGACTCTCTTCTAAATAATTTCTTCTCACCTTGGATACATTTGCAGCATTGTCTATGACCAAGCTGCGTACTAGATATTTGAATTTTTTCCCCACAGTTTGTTATAGCTTTTACTGTTACTTCTTGTAAGTATTCTGCTGTGTGCGCATTTCCTGATGTATCAATTGTTTCCGTAAGGAAGACGTTCCCTTCTTCTGTTGTCACACAAGCACGTACAACAGGATCATTGTGGACATTGCTCCACCCATCAAGACTCAGGTTAACAATTTTACCCTCTCGACCTTTTGCGCACTGCTCAATTTCTCTTTCATGCACTTTATCCAGCAATTCGCCTGCGACATCTGCTCTCTTGGGTGGACAGTATCCTGCTCTCAATGACTGAACCATGTGTGATGAAGTGGGACTGTTCTTAATGTTTCCTCTGAATAGTGTGGGGGTGCCTCAGTTTCCCCTAGGCAGTTCTTAAGTCTCTAGGGGGTGGGGTAAGGGTGTATGATCATTGCAGAGCCTAGAGGGCAGGTGTGTGCAGGAGTCTGGACACAGAGAATGGCCAACACCCTGTTTCCTGGCAACTGATGGCCTGGGCCCTTCCCCCCCTGCAAGGTGAGAGCTAAAGGGTTGGAGAACAAAGGAATCAGGTGACCACCTGGCCCGGGAAAGGAACAAAGCCCAGAGGAGGAGGGGCTGGAGGGGGTTTTCAGTTTGGGGCTGGCTGGGACATGGAGTGAAGTGCAGACGTGGTTGTCTGGCTCACTGCCCCCCAGAATGGACCCAGCTGAGGGGTCCCGTTCTCTGCACCTGCAAGCTCTGTTTTAGACCATGTTCCTGTCATCTAATAAACCTTCTGTTTTACTGGCTGGCTGAGAGTCACGTCTGACTGCGAAGTTGGGGTGCAGGACCCTCTGGCTTCCCCAGGAGCCTCGCCTGAGCGGACTCGCTGGGGGGAAGCGCACGGAGGGGCAGAGGATGCTGAATGCTCCGAGGTCAGACCCAGGAAGGTGGAAGCTGTGTGAGCTGTGTGTCCTAAAGACAGGCTGCTCACAGAAAGGCGACTACCCCAGAGTCCTGACTGACTTCATGGGGAGCAGTTCCAGAGCATCGCCCAGGGACTCCGTGACACCATGTTAATGAAGTGTGGGTTCTCAGTCATACGGAAAGGAGAGTTTGTTGCATAAACAAACCAGAAATTTTTTTCATCAATTACCTCTCTTTGCAATCTGCTAGTTTCTTATCACAAACTTATCTATGGTTGTTTCTAGATGATGGAGAATTTTTTTTCTTTTTGCTACAGGTGATAGATACACTGTGGGTATGTGACATATATGATGTGACTGAAACACTGTCCTTGGCAGATAACTCTGAAACTATAGAAAATGATGGTGATCTTGAAGGTGGACAGTCTTCAGAACCCTTTGTTTGTTGAGGATGGATTCTCCTGAACAAAATAAGTCAATGCAGTTATTTAACTATTATTACCATATTGCTCATTGCATTCACTGACACTCAGTACTACTTTAAAGGTGAAATTGTAAAAGGAACATCTGCTTATTTCAGCTCTTTCTTTTTTTATCACAACTGCATCTAAAATGATAGTACCACAGAGTAACAACTGTATTTTTTGCTCAAACATGAGAATTCAATAATAGTTCAGAGGAAAGACAGGCAGTCCTTAAGAAAGAAGTATGAAGTTTACCAACCTGAAGATCCTGCATGTTCAGACGTGTTCCTTTCATCATCTTCAAGGCAGCTTCCTCTTGAGAAGGAATGCTTCTCATGATGTTGTTTCATTCAGGCGACCAGGCCTTGCATTTCTTTTGCATTTTGCACGCATGTCTGTCTTACTCACAGGTAGAGTAACTTCATTAAAATATTCCCAAACTGGGTCTCTTCTATGGCCTGCTGCCATTATAGGTTTTCCCTTCTAGTGAGAGAATGGTATGGTAGATCTCAAATCAATGAAGGCTACACTCAGAAAGACCTCAAGACTTCTGGAATATGCTGCTCAAACAATTTCACTTTTGTGTCTACTGCCTGTCTCTCCCTTCTCACATTTATCTCCAGATGTTTTCTCCTTGTCCAGATCTATTCCGCCCTCAACAATCTTCTATTCATTGAACTTTTTAAAACTTTGCACTTTTAGAGAGAGGTAAGGGATTGACTCTGTGTACACAAATTTGCAGAGGGACAATAGAGTTGAGATCTGTTATTTCTCACCTCTGTATATTATTTATTTTAAAATATTTTTGCTGTTAACAAGCACGTTACCTCTGAAGACACAAATCCACAGTTTGAGAAGTGCAGCGCTAACCATCTCTGATGGTATCTTCTAGACTGACCACTGAGTCCCATTGGGTAGCTAGAAAGATTAACCTAAATAATCTATACGGAAGTCTGTAGAACCCCATAAGATTGGGTCCCTAATCCATGAATTATTGGAACTCTTTTACAAAACTTTTCTTACACGTTACATGAATATATTGTCTCATACTATAGAATTTATAATCCCTATTCCATGATGAGAGATCTTTGAGCTATAATGTATCTTAATTAAAACTATTTTTAGATAGGTTTTTTCCTCAAAAAGCATTTTAAAAAAAAATCCAATTTTTTAAAAAAAATCATTGATTTTTATCTACCCTGAGCTACTATAAGGTGGGTGCGGAACTGGTTGGAAAACCGTTCCCAGAGAGTAGTTATCAGTGGTTCACAGTCATGCTGGAAGGGCATAACGAGTGGGGTCCCACAGGGATCAGTTCTGGGTTAGGGTTCTGTTGAATATCTTCAATGAGTCAGATAATGGCATAGAGAGTACACTTATAAAGTTTGCAGATGATACCAAGCTGGGAGGGGTTGTAAGTGCTTTGGAGGATAGGATTAAAATTCAAAATGATCTGGACAAACTGGAGAAATGGTCTAAAGTAAACAGGATGAAATTCAATAGGGACAAATGCAAAGTACTCCACTTAGGAAGGAACAATCAGTTGCACACATACGCAATGGGAAACTAGAAAGGAGTATTGCGGAAAGGGATCTGGGGGTCAGAGTAGAGCACAAACGAACTATGAGTCAACAGTGTAACACTGCTGCAAAAAAAGCGAACCTCATGCTGGGATTTATTAGCAGGAGTGTTGTAAGCAAGACACGAGAAGTAATCCTTCCGCTCTACTCCGCGCTGATTAGGCCTCAGCTGGAGTATTGTGTCCAGTTCTGGGCGCCGCATTTCAGGAGAGATGTGGACAAATTGGAGAAAATCCAGAGAAGAGCAGCAAAAATGATTAAAGGTCTAAAAAACATGACCTACGAGGGAAGATTGAAAAAACTGGGTTTGTTTAGTCTGGAGAAGAGAAGACCGAGGGGGGACATGCTAACAGTTTTCGAGTAAATAAAAGATTGTTAGCAGGAGGAAGGAGGTAAATTGTTCTCTTTAACCTCTGAGGATAAAGAAACCATGGGCTTAAATTGCAGCAAGGGCAGTTTAGGTTGGACATTAGGAAAAGCTTCCTGTCAGGGTGGTTAAGCACTGGAATAAATTGCCTAGGGAGGCTGTGGAATCTCCATCACTGGAGATTTCTAGGAGCAGGTTAGACAAACACCTGTCAGAGATAATGCTTAGTCCTGCCATGAGTGCAGGGGACTGGGCTAGATGACCTCTCGAGGTCCCTTCCAATCCTATGATGAGGGGGAATTGGGAGAGGTGCTGATTTGCGATGGCAGCACCAGCGGGCGATTGCTCTTTGGCCAGCGGTAGCACTAAGAGCCGTTTGGAGATCAGGCCTTATGGCGCCGGGCCCTGCACAAGGACAGAACGAAAATGCTCCTTGGCAGTGCAGGGGTCCCTGGGTGTGCTGTGGAGTGAGGGGGGTTTCCTCATTAGTGGGAGGCGTGTCCTCCCTAGGTCAAGTCCAGTGGGGTGATGCTGTCAAATGTCTCCAGCAGGAGCATGCTCAGGTCTCTGTGGCTCAGAAGACCACAGAGCTGTTCCCTGTAGAGCTCTGGTGGCCAGGCCGTGTGCGCTGAGGCTGGTGGGGGGCTCTTTCGGGAAGGCCCCTGCGGGGCCTGAGTACGCGGTCTGCTCTGGAAAGCGCAGGAGTCTCTGCCATCCCCTTGTGACCGAGGGGATCAGGGGTTCTGCCCCATGCCGTGGGGTCCCCGGTGCAGCTGTTGGCTCGCGGGATGTGGGGTGAGGTCACTGGCGCTTCCCTG